AAAATAAAGAATGTATGCACTCACTAACTGTATGTCGCTCTGGATAAGAGCGTCTGCTAAATGACTAAAATGTAAATGTAGAGAGAAGAGGGCCTAGAACCAAGCCCTACGTGGTGCAGACACAGATCCTCTCCACGTCACCTTTTAGGAGTGGCCTGCAAGGTAGGATGCAATCGAAGAGTGTGCAGAGCTTGAGACGCTGAAACATTTACATTTTGCAGACGCTCTTATCCAGAGTGACTTACAGTTAGTGAGTGCATACATTTTTCATACTGGCCCCCCGTGGGAATTGAACCCACAACCCTGGCGTTGCAAGCACCAAGCTCTACCAACTGAGCTACACTGGACCACAAACGAAAACATATGGTTAAAGTACTTTGTTTCCTCCTTCAAAATATAATTTGGTGACTCATTTTTAACCAGTTTCAGTTAATTCTTCTTGATAGCATTTCTATGTTGAAGATTAAAAAATAATTTGGTGCATTTTTCCCCACATTCCATCCAGTTTGCTTTATTTTTTAAATATATTACACTTGATCTTTCTTGAATAATTTTATTTTTGTTTTTCCTCTAATTTCTTCTGAGCTTCTATGTTACAGTTTTTATTGCTATCTATCTGTTCTGTTAGACCTTCTCTTTTCTTTGTTAGTATGGACTCTTTTGACCTAAATTGCTTTTGTTTTCGAGATGAGTACTGAATTTTATGGCCTAATAATGGGATTTGCTGTACCTATGTTATGTCGGAAAAAATAAGTTATAAATTCCTCTGTCCTAGTTAAAAACAAGTTATCATCCAATAGGCTTTGATTAAATTCCCAATATCCTCGCCCACGTGGAAATTCAATAAGAATAATGTATATGCCAATTATATGATGGTTCGACCGCATTCTGTCCCCTATCAACTCTTTTTAAACTTTTGGTGCCAACGAGAATTACATAAGAAAGAAGTCAAGACTACTAGCTTGATTGAGTCTCCGCCATGTATATCTCACTAGATCAGGATATTTAAGCCTCCATGTATCTACTAGTTCTAATGTATCCATGACAGTCACGATTTCCTTAAGAGCATGAATGTGATAGTTTGTAGTGTGATTTCCTTTACGGTCCATTGAGCTATTTAAAACGATATTATAATCTAGCTAAATATAAAGAAAGAGTGTGGTACAGAGGATGGGGCAATAAGACTAAGTGATGCAGAGTGTGGTACCGAGTGGTACACAAGGAGGGAGTCTGAGCCAGAGTCAGGAAATGGCTCTTGATTTATTTAATTGTTATGTATGAGGCAATGTTTTAGGAAATTCTTAAATGTATATGGTTGAGAATGGGTTATGGACCTGTTATATTTAGACCATATTTAAGTATCGATTGATATGTTTTGGAATAAACAGAGCAGAGCCAGGTGGTGGCTCTGTAATTTTTTACATGAGAAAGTTTGGTTTGGCCACCATTGTATCCAAACTAAATAAATATAGGAGGAGAAGTCAGATTTCGCCACTATCATAAATTAAGAGAGTGGGCGGAGCGGTCAAAAGATGAAAGTTTGGAAACAATGGTGGAGAACTGAAATGGGAGGGTTTATGCTAAAAAGTATGTAAAATGAGCAGGAATGGACATATAAACTGAGGGCCGAGTGTTGTGAGTTAGTTGCTCTGCAGACCAGCTCGGCTTTTGTTGCTCTATGTAATAAAGTCTATCTTGATTCTACAAAAACTCTAGAAGAACTTAGATTTTTTAATAATTATAGTGATAATTTTCCACAACATTCAGTAGTTGTGTGGTTCAGTAAATCTGTTGTAAGTAGTTGTGTGGTTGTGGTCAGTTTTCGTCAGCACTTGTTGTTGTGGTCAGCAGATGTGGTCAATAGTGGTAAGTAGTTGTGGTCAGTAGTTGTGGTCAGTGGTTGTGGCCAGTTGTTGAGGTCAATAGTGGTAAGTATTTGTGGTTAGTAGTTGTGTGGTTGTGGTCAGTAGTTGTGTGGTTCAGTACTTGTGTGGTGAGTAGTTGTGGTCAGTAATTTTGGTCAGTAATTATGTGGTTGTGGTTGTGGTCAGTAGTTTTGTAGTTGTGGCCAGTAGTTGTGGTCAGTAGATGTGTGGTTGTAGTCAGCAGTTGTGGTCAGTAGTTGTGTGTTTGTGGTCAGTTTTGTTCAGGCATTTTGGTCAGTCATTTTGGTTTGTGGCTGGGGTCAGTAGATGTGGTCAGTAGTTGTGTGGTTGTGGTCCGTTGTTGTGGTCAATCATTTTGGTCAATAGTGGTCAGTAGTTGTGGTCAGTAGGTGTGTCATTCTGTCGGTAGTTGTGTTCAGTAGTTTTGTGGTTATTAGTGGTCAGTAATTGTGTGGTTGTGTTAAGTAGTTATGGTCAGTAATTGTGTGTTCAGTAGTTGTATAGTTGTAGTCAGTAGTTGTGTAGTTGTAGTCAGTAGTTGTGGTCAGTTGTGGTCATTCGTTGTGGTAAGTTGTTGATGTCAGTAGTTGTGTGGTTGTGGTTAGAAGTTGTATGGCTGTTGTTAGTACATATGGTCAGTAGTTGAGTGGTCAGTAGTTGTGTGGTTGTGGTCAGTATATGTGTGGTTGTAGTAAGTACTTGAGTTGTTGTGGTAATAGTTGTGGTAAATAGTGGTCAGTAGTGTTGGTCTAGTATTTGATTTGTTGTGGTAAGTAGTTGTGTGGTTGTAGTTCAGTCGTTGTGTGGTCAGCAGTTGTGTTCAGTAGTTGTGTGGTAGTAGTACAATATTTGTGGTCAGTTATTGTGTGGTTTTGGTCAGTAGTTTTGGTCATTGGTTGTAGTCAGTAGTTGAGGTCAGTAGTTGTGTGCTTGTGGTCAATACTTGTGTTCAGTAGTTTTGGTCAGTAGTTATTTGTTTGTGGTCAATACTTGTGTTCAGTAGTTTTGGTCAGTAGTTGTGGTCAGTAGGTATGTGTTTGTCGTCAATACTTGTGTTCAGTAGTTTTGGTCAGTAGTTGTGGTCAGTAGTTATTTGTTTGTTGTCAACAGTTGTGTGGTTTTGGTCAGTAGTTATATGTTTTTGGTCAGTAGGTGTGGTTAGTATTTGTAGTCAGTAATTGTGGTAAGTAGTTGTTCGGCTGTGGTCAGTAGTTATTTTTGTTAGATACTTCTCCCTAGTTGCTGAAATCGTATTTTATTGAATCCATTTTAGCTGTCACATCAGCTGTTTGGTTCGAAACAGGTTCTCAAATAATGGGAATTTGACACGCTATGAAGACTGACACGCTATGAAGATGTCTCCCTCTATGGCATGTGTTGCTAAGCAACCACCCTGCAGTTGCCTTGGCAGGCCTGCTCCCTCCATGGCTAAGTCAATGTGAGAAACATGGTAAGAAACGTTTGTGCTATGATTCATGATAGTGTTGTTAGACAAAGCAAGGAAAGTGAACTTTAAAACGTGATGTAGTTTTATTGGAATTTGCAGCTGTTGTTATTAAGTTATGAATCTGCTAGCTTCTGACATGTCTTACTGCATCTTTAATGAAAGGAGTTGATGGGTTACTAAAACAGTTCTACCTCTTGATTGGTAGAAGCTATTCCTGTTCTTTCCAATTTGAAAAGCAGAGAAATAGAGGGAGATATCATATATTAAGTTTTTGTGTGACTTGTTGGAGGAGGGGTCAAAATGGCAGTTGTTTTGAAAAAGTAGGAAAAAATGTGTTAATGCAGTTACTTAAACTGCTGTAACGTTAGATTGGTAAGATATATATATATTTTTAGACATAGACTATTTTATTGCAAAATGTAGCCTATAGCCTTTTACGTTTGCCTGACTTTTTCTGCTTGTTCATTAGGCTATGGTACTGCTTTCTCATCTTGGTTGTTAAATGGGTGAACGTAAACAAGTCTGCTGTGGCAGACCCAAATATCAAAGGTTGTGTCTGCAAACCATCAACATATCTGCGCATGTAAAAAAAAACACCTGCGAGAACTTCAGGTAGCGGTTAACATAGTTCTTCAGAGTTACAACACCACATGAGACCATAAAAGTTATAATATGATGGTTATCTAGCCAAATTAAATGAACTTGTTAATGTTAAATAACTTGATTTCAAATAATTTTTTAACAGACAGTATGTAGCCTACATAGGACTTACAATGTTCTATCACTGATAGCATTCTTTTTATGAATTAATATGAATATATATGGGCCAGTTGGGCCCTAAAAAAGAGGGGGATCTTTTATCAGAAGTTTTATTAGCTATTAGTAATTCAACTTTGTGCAAAAAAAGCTCAATCATACTTTTATCGCCACTAATTGGGCTAAGATATAAAAGAACAGAACTCTCAACTGTAACCATTTTAAGTGTGCAGAAATTAGCATATAATTATATTTTTGGGACTGTTTTTGCACTATGGCCTATTTATTTATTGCCTTACCTCCATAACTTACTACATTCGCACACACTGTATATATATTTTCTGTTGTATTTTTGACTTTGTTTTTTTACCCCATATGTAACTGTGTTGTTTTTAATCGCACTGCTTTGCTTTATCTTGGCCAGGTCGCAGTTGTAAATGAGAACTTGTTCTCAACTGGCTTACCTGGTTAAATAAAGGTGACATATTTAAAAAAAAAACATAAATTAGCATATAATACCCACCAACAATAATTGTAACTCTTGAATCGTTCAAGCTAGAGACACCAAACCAACTTTCACATGTTCAGGTTATCCTATCCTATCAATTCACCAATCATTCAATCAACCAATCTTTTCATCTACCTACTTCTTCAACTATAATCAGTCACTACCATTACAACTGCAGTCACTACCTCTACTATAACTAAATACTTTAAACAAGCTAGCAAAAATGTATTCAGGAAATGTACTTTTCTAGTTATATTATTAATGTGCAATAAGTCATTTGGGAGACTGAGGTGGGGGTATTTCATGAAACAGGATTGTAAATGTTTTAGAAATATTAAAAAGAAGTGATTTAAAGCAATAAATAGAAGGTAAAAAAAAAACAGCCACAATCAAACATTGCAATGATGTAAGCTTTTATTCAGTCTAAATAGCATGACTTTTGTCTTTTTCCTTGTCCTCAAGATGACACGTGTTACAGTTTGTATACAAGTGTTAGTCAAAGTTAACAGTTATCCCCATGTTCGTTTTTCATATAATTCCTCTTAGGCGTGTGAAAATAATAGAAAACATGCCCCAAAGATCTTCCACACATTGTTATGAACAACACAGTGTTAATAGTAACTTTTCCAATACTTTAAATATAAGTTGTGAGGACATTTTGATTCTCACACAACATTTACTGTATTCTGTATTTTTCCCAACCACAAACGCGATTTTTCAAACGATATCAATCTCCTTAACAAATAGGCCTATGTATCCAACTGGGATCGTGGTCCTTCTTAAACTTACAAAAGCTTAATTTACAAATAATTTAGCTTACAAGTGGAAAGAGAGAAAAATGTAAACATTTCATTTGGCAGATTGTCTTAATCTAAACCGGTTAATAAATAGATTAAAAAGTACATTTAGTTTATTATTATATCCTCGCTAGATAAATATATGGGATTGCAAATGTATTTACACTGATAAGTCACATAATTATGTTCCTGTTACAAACAAAAACCTACTGACCAATGCTAGATGATGGAAAACCCAAAACTATGGACATTTGAAGCATTGCATTCATCAGGATGAGATAGCCTGCTTGAGGCCTTGGTCATGCATGTAGTCTGACAATGTAAGGCCCAATCCTAACTTGAGACTCACCCAAGTGCAACTCTGACTTTCGTCGTAAACAGTTCATTAATATTGATGGAAGATCTGCATGAATGCACCCTTGGACCTCAAGTTAGGATCTTCCCAAAAATCTATTGAAGCACCATCTCCTCTTTCAACTTCACCTACCTAACAATCAATATATCAACCAATCAAAATAACCAATAAATCAACCAATCAGTTACTCAGGTCAATGATCAGGTGCTCATAGATCTGGGTCTTCCCTTTGAAGCTAGAGGCCAGCAGGAACTGCCTGTTGTCAATGGCCAGAGGAGAGAAGGCCCTGGGCGCCTGGATGTTGAGCTCCTGGAAGTGGACGAACTGGCTCTTGTTGGTGTCCCAGCAGTACACCTGGGTGAACGAGAAATCACTGCCCAGCACGGCGTACTGCCATCTGCCCACTGTTAGCGGCTGGAACACCATGGAGCCACGCGACGGCATGGTCTGCATCTCGCGGAACAGGGCACCATCCCAGCGCATCACCTTGGAGTCGCCGATGAAGCGCGTCAGGCAGATGAAGAGCTCCTCGTCGATCTGGAAGTGCTTGACAGCATACACGTCCTCCATCTCTGGGATGTCTGTGCGCCAGTCGAACAGCTTGGTGCCCTTGTTCCATTGGTAGATAACGGGGCGCTGCGAGCTGCTGGAGAGGACCAGGTGGGGCTTGGACGAGATCTCCATGTACTCCACGTCAGTGTCACGGTACCACAGGTGCAGGGACTGGTGCGAGTAGAACCCATTTCCGTTCCACTTATACACTGTCGTAGAACCGGCCTTAGAACTGTCTGCAATCACGAAGAAGGACTCACCGTCGATGCGGAATGTCTCCACGTCATTAGGCTTGCGAATCTTCACGATGTCGATGTCCTGGATCTTGATGAACTTGTTGGCGGAGACATCGCGCTTGTAGATGTGCGAACCGCCGAAGAGCTGGGCCACGATGATGAAGAGCTGATTGTCAATGATCAACGGCTTGCAGATCACTGTGGATGTGCCTAGAGGGAGGGAGGGAGTGAGGGAGGGGGGAGATAGAGAGAGACAGAAGAAGGGAGTAAGAAAGAGAGTGCAAATGTGTTACTTTTATGTATGCATGGCTCCATCGTGGTAAAAATGAGAGAAAACAGTCTTCTCCAAATACTGTTATAAAACAACTGGTTTTGATGCATCAGAAGAATCGATTTCTTTCAGCATCAGAATAATTTATTTTTTTCACATCGACAAAGTCCTTTACTTACTGTCAATGTCATCGTAATTTCGGAAGTTCATCTCCACGTGATCCCATTCCAGGAAGCTGCACTTTCCAATGAAGGGCTGGGCAAACACCACATACTGGTCATTCCCAAATGCAAACGCCTCCACGGATATGGACTCTGACTTCTCTGACTGGTAGGAGGCAAACTCTACAGGAAAATGCAAAGGATGCCACATAAGTCACCATTGGCCAATAATGATAGATTAGAAGACATTAAAAAACATACTGTAGTGGTTGACATCTGGCTATTTCAGCTTCAGTTTAGTAGTTGGTGGCAATGGCTAGTTTAACAAACAAAACCAATGTGTGGATTGCAGTCTCTCTTCCTCTATAGACTGTTTTGAAAGTAAGGAAACAAATATATAAAAACATATTTTTGCTGAACTATGCCTTTAATATCATCATGACGATTTAAAGTGGTGGTTGACCTGTGGTGATGCAGTCGAAGGATGCAGGAACAAGGTCGTTGATCTTCTTGTCTCGGTGGGAGGCAGGGCCTTTACAGTAGATCTGGTCCACGGTGGCGTTGGTGTGGACCATCCACTCCACCAGCCACTTCAGCTTACAGTCACACATGAACTGGTTGCCCCGCAAGTCGCTGAGGACAGGGGGAGAGTAACACACATTTTAGCATTAACTGGACCCGGCTCAACAAGGGGGCTTAGCCTCCTCAGTTCAAACTTGAGCTACCTCAGTTTTAGTTTCATGTCCCTATATAAAAATAGCAAAACAGTTAAAATTATTGAGTGACAGGTTGGTGGCCAAAGAAATCTGTATCTCTGCTTTGCTGTGTCAGCACAATGGACAAGGCGTGACGCAGTGTGTGTAGGGGGGCTATGGAAAGCCACTGGGCGGTTAGTTAGGTATGAATCCTTTGGGTTTCCATAAAAAGCGGGAAAAAACACTTCTCATCTCTGTTAGCTTCTTAGCTAGATGGAAAAAGTGTTAGTGTTATTAGCCTTAGCCTATTTAGCTAGCTCGAACTAGCTTATCTGCCACGAAGGATTTCAGAAATTGTCTTTGCCAAAGTAACCAAACAAAGGAAAAGGAGAGCGATGAGCAGCAGCATCAAACCACCAAGACCTATGTCAAGCAACTTGGATGCAATGTTGCAGTGAGATTAACTCAAGCAAATGTGCTGATACACAAACCAACTCAAACAAGACTGCAGGTAGCCTAGCGTTGAAGAGCGTTGGGCCAGTAACCAAAAGCTTGCTGGTTTGAAACGGTGAAAAATCTGTTAATGTTTGAGCAAGGCACTTAACCCTAATTGCTCCTGTAGGTCCCTCTGGATAAGAGTGTCTGCAAAAAAAAGAGGGTTATTGTAAGAGCATTATAGACAAAATGCTGGTTGTATAATTTAGCTAACTAGCCAAAATGGAATTTTCAGCACTGTTTTATCAAGCTAGTTAATCTTGGACAATTTCAGTAGAAAGTGAACGGGGAGAAGTCTGGGTTCACTTCATAAAATATATTTATTGACTGCCAGACCATGTACATAAACCAGGATTATCCATGATGTCAATAATTTTTTTAAATGCATCTCCTGTTTGGCACGCCTCTTCTGTTGGGTTTACCAGCAGCACTGATAGATTTGTTGACACGACAACTGAGTCAGCGTTCCCAATATTCATCCATGCTGGCTAAAGACCTATAGTGCATTCGGAAAGTATTCAGACCCCTTGACATTGTAAGGGTTGGTGTGAGCGGTGAGGTGTGACCCAGGTACGGTGCATAATAGACAGTAGGCAAGGATGGTGAAACAAGGATCTTTACTGGTGGTCCAAAAGCCAGGATACAAAACAGACTATACACAAAAACAAATGAGGAGCACATAGGTCTCCAAAAAACAGGCTGACAATAAACAATATGAAATACTAACTCTGAATGGAAAAACACAATGACTCAGGGAGAACACTTCTTGAGTACCTGTAACTCCGTCACGTGATTCAACACTGATACGTACTGCTTGACATCAAGGAACTAGCAGAGAAAACTGAGCAAGGGAACACAGGGATGTGAGGGCATAAATACACAGGTGAATCAGATAGCCACAGGTGATACCAATAGGCAGATAATTAGTCCCGACTGTGAGTGAGGAGGTGCCTATGGTTGTCGGAGGATGACACGTTGTGGGTCGCTCCGGAACTGCAACCCACTCCTGTAACAGTGCCCCCTCCGACGAACGGCCCCAGCTGTATCAGCAATGGGTCCAGAATTTCCCTCCTGGGCACCCCAGACCTCTCCACCGGCCCATAACCCTCCCAGTCCACCAGAAATAGGAGACCCCTCCCCACCCGCCGGCAGACCAGGATCCGGTCCACCATAAATGCAGGCCGCCCTCCGACGAGGCGTAGCGGGGGAACAGGGTGAGGAGGGGGAGCCAGGGGACAGGTGGCGACGGGCTAGAGGAGGGACACATGGAATGTGAGAGGCACCCGCATGGTGGGGGGGAAGTTGCAGCTGGTAGGTCACTGGGTTGACTCGCTGGACAATTCTGAATGGCCCGACGGGACCACCGCCTCCTTCTCTTGCTCGGGGAATAGAGGCACTTGGGCATAGGCAGGGGTCGGAGCAGCCCTGCTGCGGGCTGATGTGAGCTCATCATGCGTGCGTTCACCGGGCAAGCAGCCACGAAGGTGCTCATATCCCCCTCAGCAGATGGCCACCAGAACCTCCTACGCAGGAACTCCAACGTCCTGGCGTCCCCCGGATGGCTGGCGAGGTCGGACGCGTGCGCCCATTGAAGCAGTCACAAGCGCGCAGCCTTGGGTACGTACATCCTCCCCGATGGACCTCCGCCCGGATCGGTCTCCCGCCGTAGCGCTGCTCTGACCAGCCTATCAATTCCCCACGAAACTGAGGCAACAATCAGGGCGTTGGGGACAATGGTGTTGTCCCTCATGGCCAGCGTCTCCGGCCGGGACAAGGAAAGCCATCGCCCTCGTGTGGGCATGGCGCCCGGCAGGAGATCGATAGCGCAGTCATAAGGCCTGTGAGGAGGTAGGCCCTTGGCACGCCTCTTACTAAACACCTCCCCCAGATCCCAATACTCCTGGGGAAGAGGTGAGGACTGGTAGGTGATTTGGGACGGTGGTTTAGGCTGATGAGTGGTCGGTGGCGACCGGAACAGGACGGGGGCGGAGCCTCCCTCCAAGATGAGCCACCCCGTGGACCAGTCTATCCGGGGGTTATGGGCGGCCAGCCAGGGGTGCCCAAGGATGAGGGGACACTCCGGAGAGTCCACAATGAAAAAATGGATATACTCCCATAGCCCCCCCGCCACCTGGACATGCACGGGGACAGTGCGCCGGGTGATGCAGCCCGACCCCAACGTCCGGATACAAAACAATGGACTATACACAAAAACAAATGAGGAGCACATAGGTGCTGACAACAATCAATACGAAATACTAACACTGACTGAAAAAACACAATGACACAGGGAGAACACTTCTCGAGTACCTGTAACTCCGTCACGTGATCCGACACTGATACGTACTGCTTGACATCAAGGAACTAGCAGAGAAAACTGAGCAAGGGAACACAGAGAAGTGAGGGCATAAATACACAGGTGAATCAGATAGCCACAGGTGACACCAATAGGCAGATAATTAGTCCAGACTGTGAGTGAGGAGGTGCCTATGGTTGTCGGAGGATGACACCTAGTGGGTCACTCCGGATCTGCGACCCACTCCTGTAACACCTTATTAAAAAAAAAAATATCCTCATCAATCTACACACAATGTCCCATAATGACAAAGTGAAAACAGGTTTTTAGAAATGTTTGCACATTTGTGACTCACCACCTGGAGTTGGTCTTATGTAGCAAAATTTGAAATGCTGTTTTTTACATTGGATAAAAGTAGAGACTCAGAGCTACAACACTGTATATTGTAATTCTGCTTTGAAAGTTGATAAACTTGTAAACTCACTTTTGAGAAAATGGCATTTGAATGTGTTGGTATCTAGTGAAGAGCTCTTCTTTGTCTACATCCATTCAGAATTATTCACACCCTCTTAAGCTTTAGCCCCACCCATCACGTTTCACTCTCTGCGCTTTCAGAGCGCGCACTTGAAGGTCTGGCCGATCATTTGTTTACCTCTGGATAACATGAAAACAGCCTAACCAGCTCTACTGGCAACAATTTCATTGCGCTTTTATGCCGATGTTTACTGACTCCGGCAATATTCAACGGGTGTTGTGCACTTTAACTTAAGACATGTAGCCAGCTAGCTAGGTAAACAATGAACCTGGATTGGTAAACGACGTGTAAGATCACACACGACACATAACGTTAGCTAACGAGCCAGCCAGCTAACGTTAGCTAGTTACACAACAATGAACATAGTGCCAATGAATGTCATTACTACCCTGCATTAATGTGCTGGGAGCTAACCAACCAGGTTCTATGTTAGCTAGCTAACATTAGGCTCTAACTAGCAAAGCAAATGGTTCTGTGATACGAATAATAACGTCATGCACGTAACGTTAGCTAGAGAGCCAGCCATCTAACGTTAGCTAGCTAGCTAAAAGTACACTTTAGCTTGAAATGAAACCACTTTCTGTCAAAATTTGTAATATCTGAAAATGGAGCTAGCTAGACTATCTTACCCGTATATATCATCATGTATGATGGACGGGTCTCCCTCGTATTCCATACAACGTTTGCCCTTAGTTTGAAGATATATTCCGGAGATAGGTGTTTTTGCCATCTCTTCAGCTATCATATTCTAATTCCACTGATTTCAAAACTCAACCCTCCAAAAAGTGGAGAGCAACAATTATGCAGCTTCACTACACGATACATTTTTAGAAAAGCCGCGTTCAACAGGATTACAAACAAAGACTGACAAAAGCCTTCTATATTGCAGACCAATCCGAACTCCTCTCTCGGCATGTCCAGCCCAGTCATTATCTCAGCCAATCACGGCTAGTGGGAAGGTTGCTGTTTTTTTCTGTGGCTTAACCAACAAGGCTCGTAATTTAACAATTTTATTCGTATTTACAGATGGCATACAAGTTTGGTATTAAGCCATATTAAAGTTCACATGTTCCAGAAGGCATTTCTGCCCAAAAAAAACAAATTTTGATACCCAAAAAAGAAATGGCTCTCCTGTGAAGTCGTGACTTGCGACATACGCCTAGTTTCCTGAAACGGGTCACATTTATTAAAACAAAAAAACAGAAATACCATATTTACATAAGTATTCAGACCCTTTGCTATGAGACTCAAAATTGAGCTCAGGTGCATCCTGTTTACATTTTTCATCCTTGTGATGTTTCTACAACTTGCAGTCCATACAATTGATTGGACATGATTTGGAAAGGCACACACCTGAGCTCATATATAAGGTCCCACAGTTGACAGTGCATGTCAGAGCAAAAACTAAGCCATGAAGTCGAAGGAATTCTCCATAGATCTAAGAGATAGGATTTTGTCAAGGCACAGATCTGGGGAAGGGGTAACAAAAAATGTCTGCAGCGTTGACGGTCCACAAGAACAGAGTGGCCTCCATCATTCTTGAAAGGAAGAAGTTTGGAACCACCCAGACTCTTCCTAGAGCTGGCCGGC